CCATGCATATAATTCACATAACACATAGCACATAACATGTAGCATTTAAACACATAACATGAAATGCACAATAAATGCAACGGTCTAGACCCATGCCCATCAAGCCCTAGGTAAATCGTATACCTAAGCTCTGATACCAAGTTGTGATACCCCAAAAATTAGGGGTCCTTAATTTAATAAAATTTGGGTAGAGTCTCCTTTGTACGGGGAGCTCTACCCAAAATTCAACCTGTATAATATACATTAACACGACTCATCTGAGGTCCAATATAACACAATGACCGTACCGGGTCTATTCTTGACTAAAAATTGACCACACCGAATCAATTCATCCATACTCATATAAAAAGATTTTATCTAATAACAACAATCAAGCATGCCATTACATAATCAAGCAATAACATCCTTAATCCTCAAGGCATAATGTAAACATATAATATGCCCACAAAATAGCCCACATAATAGCCCCTAAACAAGCCACATAACGGCCCCAAAATAAGCCACAAAATAGCCTCTAAACAAGCCATAAAACAACCCATAAACAAGTTATAAAACAGCCCATAGATAAGCCATAAAACAACCCACAATTTTAACTCAAAATAGTCACAATTTCAGCCCCTTAACAGCCCCTAAATAGCCACAAAAAATAGTCCAAAAGGTAGGAATAAAACTAAAGTAGGAAGAACCCTACCTTTTATAGCGTGTAGGAAGTAGTAGAACTTCCAAGAACACCAACCAAAGCCCAAGAACCTTTGATTTCTTCAAAATTCCCTTTTTGATCTTCAGTGAAATTCACTTTTCTTGGTACGTAGATGTAGCACTCGTCGTGGTGATCGACTTTAACTCTTGGTCCGAGTTGATCCGAACAACGAAACTTCGAAGATCCGAGGTAGGAAGCTTGAAGAACTAACTTGTTTATTCTCTATTCTCTCTCTCTCTCTCTCTGGCCGGCCAAGGGGGCTGAATAATGAGATATTTCTCTCAAAATTCAGATATTTGGTTGATATTTATAGTCGTAAATGTGCGGTCCACGTCGCACCGCATATTTCCTATTTCTGGGTCCGTTTTTCATCCCGAAATGATTCACTATGTCCCGATTTAAGTTTAAATTAATTTTATTTGAACTTTTATCCAATTTTAAGGAAATTTTATAAAACTCATTTTTGGAGTCCTTTAAAAAATCATTCGCCACCCAGCTGCCTTGAACTACATGCAAAAATTTGACTATCTTGAAATTCGACGAAATTCGACAAGGTGACTAGTTTCTGCGATACGAATTCAACGGCGAAGTCCGTTGTATCATACGAGCTCTAGAGAATGCGTATTTCAATTCCGTATTATAGTGATAAATTACTATTTTACCCTTTATTGGAAAAAGTTTAAAATTTTTCTCGATTTTTATAACATTTCATATGGATCTAAGTTGGGGAGTAGCTTTTGTAGGAGATACTCTATTAAGCGTAACTCACCCTATACAGAAAAATATTTTAGGTGGGGGATATACGTCGTTGGACAATGCTTATTCAGGGCCCCAGTGACGAAGAAAGGCCGACTTGTGACTTTTAGTTATTTTTTTTTGTAAAACTTTTGCAAAGTTAGTTTTTGGGCATGTAATGTATGTAAAAGAATTATAATTTTGAATTTGTATTAGCTATGTTTAATACATTAATTTATGATGTGAGAGTATGCATTGATGTATATTGGACCTCGGATGAGTCATGTGATTAAATGTTTTTATAAAAATATGGATAAATAGACTCGGTGTGGTCAATGTTGTATATTAGACCTCGGATGGGTCATGTGAATGTATATTGCACATGTTAGATTTTAGGTAGAGCTCCCCATATAAAGGAGACTCTGCCGAATTTCGTTAAAATTATGGACCCCGGTAAATGTGGCATAATGGCACAATATTGAGTTATTCGGTATCTACAGGTATTCTACGGGTTGATAGGTAATCAACGGACCCCTGGATTTAGAGGCGCCACAATTATACTCCGCAAAGCTGTAACCACAATCACGTTCCTCAAGACCATAATCACATTTTACCAATTATGCTCCAAGTACATTTCGTACATGTATTAATCAATCCCAAAATATTTAGCTCAAAATACAAGTCAACTAATAAAGATTCTCATATCAATCAGAATAATCAATAGGAATACAAATTTCAGAGAATCAAATGACATTCTTTGCAAAGAGATTTAAAAAATAAAAGTATATTATATACTACTCCATACTTTAAAATCATCAATGACTCCAATAAATGTGAAATTCGAAGTACCATGAACAAAATACTCAAATTTGATAGCGATCTATAATAAAATCACAACTCAATTTTTGATCCTAAAATCTCATAAGTTTTTTTTCATCTCTCTCTCTCTCTTCTTTCCTTGCTCTGCGTTTTTCTTACTGGTAGCACCTTATTTATAGGGTGGAAATGCTTAGCCTCCAAACTATTTACGCGAGGCTAAGAACATGTGATTATACAAGGCAAATGAAGTCATTGGACAAATGTTCATTCTCTCATGGTTGCCTCTCTTTTTTTATTTAAAAACACATGTCACTTAATTACAAACTATGCCCCCCTAGGGTAACACTTGTACCCTTTAATACATTTATCACAAATTACATATATAGTATTCACCTATTATACCATTTGAATATTATAATATTTTTATTTTAATACAAAAAATAACTTATATTATAGTCATTTGACTCATTTTCAAGCAAATATATATATATATATATATATATATAAGGTCCATTAGTTTATTTGAAATATTTAAAAATAACGATTAATTATATAGAATTATAATTAACGACCTAAATAACGTGATAACGATTAATTTTAATACGATTTGTCACATGTAGGATCTTTTTCACCTTAAATATACCTACTAAAAGGTATAAATTTAAATATGTAATATTAAAAAAGAATATTCATTTTAAAAATAATTTAGAACCCCCACCTAAAAATTTTGCCTAGGGCTTCAATTATTCTTGGACTGACCTTGCTCTCAACGAGTTATTATAGCTAAATAGTCTTCTATTTTCATTCTCTTCAGTTTTTTAAGATATTGAACAATGAAATTTGTTCATTTAATAGTGTTTCCACTTTCTATTCTTCTCTATATTCGTCTATCTCCGAAAATATTTCAATTCTCATATTGCTCTTTGTAAAATCCCACAAGTTTAACAACTCGACTTTGATTTTTCAACCATCGTCAATACTTAGATTGTAGCTTCTCAAATTTTAATCATATTTCTAAGTTTTATGTTTGTCCTAACTTTTCTATTTGCATATGTAATAGATATGTTTAATTCTTGGTTTTAAGAATTATGTATTTTTATATTTTTTTTTTCTCATGTGTTCATTTCGTTGGATCTTATAATTCTTGATTTGTTCTTACAATCCCAATCCTTGACTTCTCCCATCGATCCAAGGTAGAATCTCAATTTTAAAAATCTTGGTTAATCTACATATAGTGTGCGAAATGTAGAATGGTAGTTATAGAGGATTTGAGAAAATCAAGTGAAATTGAAACTCGATTAATTAATAAATTATGCATTCAAAAAAATAATTGATGTTTGATTTTGGGACAATGTGAGATTAATTCAAATCATTGAGTACTAGGGTAATGCGAGAAAATCAATAATTGACTCAGGTCAAAATATAATTTACCCTGAAATTACTATTCAAATTCTCCTTTATAAACATGACATTGTACTTTTAATTAAAAAAAAAAGGAATAACTAAAAATTGATGTTGTGTTAATGCTCTTATGACCTCTTTAATTGGCTTTTGTTTGATCCCAAAAATTTAGATCACATTGTTTTTCGAGAACAAAAAAGTTAGATCAACTAAAAAAGGGATAAAAACAAGGACTAAATAATGTGACATTTCAATAATAATATTTTTAAATCTATTTTTATGTATTTAATATTCAAAATTTACTGACGATGTTAGTTATCACGCCATTTAAGCTGTATTTGTATCCTATTTTTTAGTCAAGATAACTGCTCTTTCGAGTCTAGTTGGATAAAATCACATTTTGTATCCTTAGAAAATAGTTTTGAATTTTACAGTTTTTTCACATTATTTCTCCATCATTTCAATTGACTTTACACCGTCCTAAAATCAAAATTATATATATTTTCCATGAAATTGTTTATGTGTCATTAGATTTTCAAACAAAGTAAAATAAAATTTCATTGCTTGTGGAGGTAAAGTAATAAAATTTTTTATTCAATTTGTAACAAACATATGTAATTATAACATTAGGAAATCCACAAAAGCAGTTAAGATTGCAATCTGAAATACAATGACAGCTATTTCTTGGAAAACCATGACAGATAATGTGAGATAAAAATATAATTGATGGGGCTAAAGTGTAATTGCTCCATTCAATTTTCCGATTGCAGCACACTGTATATGATACACACGCACTCGCGTTGCGTGCTGTTTTGAGTTTGCCCTAATATCACGTACACCCGCACGTCTATATCTATATAAGGCCTGCCCTAACAATCCATAACGTTCGAAACACCGCCGTCACAGCCGAACCAAAACAACTACTGATTGAAGAAGTCATCGCCGATCTAGTCGAATATCTCCCCAATTTCAGTATCACAGCTACATTCGAGTACTACCCCCCCCCCCCCCCCCCCCCCCCCCCCCTTTTT